GGGCACTGGACTAGGAATCAGACATCCTGTGTTTTGGTGTCCAGTATGACTCCTAGGGTGAATGATTATTGGAACATCAACTGAATCTCCTTTCATTCTTTTAATCACCTGAGTATCTACTGTGTTCTGAGTCCTAGGAGCTTATGCTACCTCAGAAAGCAAGAAACTCAGCACCACATAAAAAAAAAATAGAGATATTGTGTCCACCTAAAACTAAAAAATATATATTAAAAAAAAGAAAAGAAAAGAAAACAAGAAACAAAGATCCTTGCCTTTATAGAGCTAATATTCTAGTTCCCACTCTTCTTCCATTAGCTTGGGTTAACACTGCTTCCTAAAGATGTAAACCCAGAATGTAAGAGTGAAACTTTTTTTTGGTACCAGGAATTGAAGCCAGGGACACTTAACCACTGAACCACATCCCCAGCCCCGCCACCCCACTCATTTTTTTTAAATTTTGAGACAGGCTCTTGCTAAGTTGCTGAGGCTGCCTTTGAATCTGCAATCCTCCTTCCTAGCCTCCCAAGCAGCTGGGATTACAGGTGGCACCACTGTGCCCATCAAGAGTGAAACATTTTTTGCAAATGGTCCAGACCAACACTGTCCAACACAGTAGCCATGAGCCATGTGTGGCTCTGGAGCACTTAAAATGCAGCAAGTCCAAACAGAAGTGTGCTTGCAAGTACAAAACACACACTGGATTTCAAGAACTCAGTATGAAGAAAGGAAATGTTAAATATTTCCCTTATATTTTATATTAATTACATATTAAAATAATTCTATTTGACATGGTGGGATAAATCTTATTTAAATTAATTTTTCTTATATTTACTCTTGTATGTGACTACTAAAGAGTTAATTGTGCCTTCCGCATTTCTATCAGGCAGCCCTGGTCCAGTCTATTGTCTTTATTGTAATCAAGAAACTGAAGCCTGAAAAAGTAAAGACTCCGTCAGGACCAGAATCCAGGTCTCCCCACAATGAAGCAGCTTGAGAGGCAGAGAGGAGGTGAATATAAAGACTATGAAGGACCCAAACATGGGACCCATCTGCAGAGCTGGTGTCTAGCTGAGCAACATTTGGTAAGCACCTAGAGCCACAGCAGGAGCCTAATTAGTGTCTGCTTCACCTCTCCTTCTGCTCAATCTTCCTACTGCAGCCCCATGTGGTTATTCCATGTAAAAGACAGAACTACCCAAGACCACTCAGGATTAGGCCGCAGCAGCAGTCCTGGTGCCCATTCTGAACTGTGACAAGCCAAGCAGGGCTCAGCAAACTATGTTTGGAGTGCAGGGTGGGCAGCCAGGCAGGCAAAGGGTGACTTCTTCCATCTTGAAAAGGCTAAGCTGGCTGAGAGAAGCTTAGGGCAACACGAAGCAAGGTTCATGTTGGCAAGGTGATGGCAAGGGTGATTTCAATATCTAGCTCTTGAAGGGTGGTTTTCTCCAGATCTCTTGCAGAGGGTAAAGATGGAGACAGATACGGGACTTTGGGTACTCATTCAATTAAAGATTAAATTTTAAAAACTAGAAAGTACTATGCAAGGAAAAACTATGAAGTACTGAAGAGGAGAGGTGTGGGACAGGAGGACTCTAAGACAGGACAAGATCAGTCAGAAACCTGTGCAAGGAGCCCAAAGCTGGATTAAAATAAAGTATGGTGAGGAAGCAGTTGTATTCACTTGGTCAAGTATCTGAGTACTTACTCCACAAAAAAAAAGACAGGTCAGCTGACAAAACTTGTGCAAAGGAGGCCAAGAATAGTCAGAAAGGGACAGATCCTTGGGAGGGAGTCTGGGATGTCAGAGCTAACAGCAGGTCCTAGGAGCCCTTATGCTGGCATTCCAGGTACATGCGCGGAATTGGCCAGAGGCGACACACTGTTGCTTTCACTGAGCTGCTGTCTACAGGTCCCTAAACCAGGTCAGTGATGACAGCGGGAAACAAAAAAAAAACCAAAAGAATCAGCAGAACCAGCAACTGAGTGAACATGGAGAGAGAAAGGCTGAGCGAGCCCTGTGGGGCTGGTGTTGGGAGGGTGGGAAGTGTGGAAAGTGCTTAAGGGCACCAAACGGGAGTGGCTTAGGAGTTGCAGCTGTTGTTGAGTTGGTAGTCACTGCCCCTCAGCTCCAAACCTGCACCCTGAGGCCCCCATTTAAAAGAAGACCCTGAGATTTGCCCTGCATTTGAGGTCAGGAGCTTTTAATCCAGAAAGCAGCATTCAGCACCTTGGCCACCAGGAGAGAACCCACTTTGAGTTTCTCTCCATTTTTGCAAGGAATGCCAGCTGACCTTCACCAGAATGTGTATCCACACAAAAGGAGTGCATCCTGTGTGTAAGGCCACCTTCTCAACAAGCAAAAGGGACTCTGCTACTGAGCACAGAGCCCACATGCCAGGGGCTGAGAAAACTGAGTTCTTAAAAACAGCCAACCCAGCTTCTCCTGAATCCAAAGCAATTCCCCAGGCTTTTTTATACACAGTTCCCTTGGTCTCCTCAGTACCTGGCATGAGGCTCTACCCAGGAAGCACTTAACTACTTACTGACTCAATCACTGTTATCCAAGAAATGAGCACTCTACGCAGTTTAGTGACCAAGACTCTTAAATGCTCTGGAACTAAAAAACATCCTACTCGGAGAGTTGCTTAACATCAGCAATTATTTCTTCATATTGGTTTTTTCCTGTTGTTCCAAGAAGTTCTGCAAACAGTTCTAGAACGAGCCACAGGGGCCAGCTGAACAAATTTTATTAATTCGAAACAATTCATAAAGTTTACTAACATAGGTTATATAAAGATGCTTCTTTTATAAACCATTACATTCTAAATATAAGCTTCTTTATAATGTATGTAGTAAAAAAAAAAAAGTTGGAGAAACCTTAGGTCCTGGAAATGTTATTAAGAGATCAGCTCTACTGATATGTCCAAGGAACTTTAAACACACTATCACATCTTTGAAGGAGCTGGCTTCACCATAATAGGATTTGAGCTAATTTAGTGTACCACGGTTAAAACACTAAGATGTCAGGAGGCATTTTTCTATATTGCCATTTACCTCAGTGGCAATGAGAAAAAGGAGCACAACTTATCTATTCAGAGTAATGTCTTAGCCCAAGTAGTACCTCAGACTCTGCCTTGCTCCCTCTTAACCCCCAAACACCCACACCTGCTCACAAAATAACAGATACCATCCAGAGGCAGATAGGAGACCAAGAAACCCCAACAAAGTGTAACTTAACTCAGGCACCTAGTTTGGGGCTTCCTGGTAATGCAAAATGATTTAACACATCCATTCAGAGCTCTCAAGTTGGCCTTTAGTGGCTCAATCCACAAATACAACATATCAAAGAGGAAAGATGAAGATAAGGTACTACTTACTGGAGCAGGAGAAAACAAAAGTTTTCCAATTTTGTATCAAATGTGTCCAGTTAATGGTACTGTGAGAACAAGGGCACCACAGTCCACTTTTAAGTTATCTTTATTGCTGAGCTGTTCCTTGGACTTTCAGAAGTAGGAGGAATTCTCTGTTCTCTGATGGGCAGTGCAAGATGTACATAATCTGCCCTGGCCTTGAACAATGGGGGATGTGGGCTAAGTGTGTGCACTACTGGGAGATAGGGGTAGGTCGCTTAAGTCTGAAGACATTAAGTAGGGAGAGCCCCTGGTGCTGGACTAAGTCATACTAATTCTGACCAAGAGGCCCAGAGCCAAATCCTTTCCTTCAGAGTTACAGGAATTTAATCTCTGGATACAAGGCAGGTATTGCGGAAGAAACAGCATGAAGAGTGTGGCTGTTAGTTCTATGTAACACACTAAAGTAACTTAAAAAGTTATGAACTTTTGTTTGGTAACAATATAGGGGTATCCTAGCAGGAAAAAAATTTTTTTAAAAAACTTTGATGTTTTATGGGACACTCCTTGCAGCTACCTGAACAATTATATACAATATATCAAATCTCCTTTCTAAAAAATTATTGAGAATATATGTACTCTAAAACTATGGGCTACTTTAAGAGACAAGGTTTCATTTATCTGAATTAAGAGCTGACTTCAGAGATACTAAGTTTACCATTTTCATAAGCAAGAATGTCAAAGAATAGAACCCATGCTGGTCCAGCTCACACAGCTTTCCAGAAAGCCAAGTCAGCATTGCTAAGCCCCACCCACTTCAACTGCAGGGTCTAATGGGACAGATCTCAATCCCTCAATAATACCTCTGGGGATTTAAGGCACAGTACAATTCTTGGTAAGCTCTCCTACTACCCTATCCGCAGCCTGGCTTGCTTCCTGGCTTGCTGCCTTGCCAAGTTATTCAGGTTGAAAGGTTGGTGTGGCCAACAATGGCCACCCTCATCCCACTGCAAGGCAGCTGGGGCAGCTGGCTGGTCTTTTTAAGAAGGATTTAATAGTTCTAACTTTATTTCCAAGGATGGTTCAGTTTCCTAATCCTTCTACCAAATATTTGTCACAATGCAAAGGATTACATACATGGTCTGGATAAAAGTTTACTGTAAGAGCACTTTACCTACTTCACTGTATGCATGTGATACCTCCATCTTTTAAAAAAATTATTATTATTATTATAAAAGGGGCTGGGGTTGTGGCTCAGTGGTAACGCGCTTGCCTAGCATGCGTGAAGCACTGGGCTCGATTATCAGCACCTCATAAAGAAATAAATAAAATAAAGGTCTATCAATAACTAATTTAAAAAAAATTAAAAAGGAAGCAGGTTCCCCTTAAGACAAGGAATTAGGGCCCTGCAGAAGGCTTCCTCTGCATAAAAATAAGTAAATAAAAAGTAAAAAAAAAAAAAATAATTTTTTTTTTTTTTAAAGCACAACCAGCGGGCTGAAATGGTCCACCTCTAACAGTTGCAATGTCTTGCTTTCTCAAGGGAAACTCGCCAGGCATCTCCCCTGGAGCCCTCCCTCTCTTGGAGGGGGGCACCCTTCGGTTTCCTCGCCCGCCGGCGTGTTCCGTTTAGGTACACAGGCTACCAACCTGTGCTCTTCAAATTCCTCGTCCTCCTCCTACTCCCCTCCCACTCGGCTCCTCCGGCCTGGCGACTTGTGCGAAAGGGTTTCGCTGAATGCGACACCTCCTGCGACAGCCGTGCCTCGGTGCCACCGTCGGCACCGCTATCCGAGTCAACTGACTCGCCATGGCTTTTAGCCTAGGCGGTAAGCAAGTTTCATTCCCAAAAGGGGAGGAACCAGGTTTCACCGACACCGTATTCTCGAGAACTTTCTGAGAGACGCGCGGTGCCTCCTAAGTCACTCGCTTGGATCCCTTTACTGCTTTCGCGGTGTCCACATTCAAGTGGGTTGAGTCCAAGAACATTTAAGGAAGGATCTCTGACCTTTCCTTAAAACTCAGACCTTGGAACCGAGCCTAGGAAGCACCCCTCCCCTGCCCGGCCAGATGCAAGTCCCAGACCGCTGCGTCTCCAACTGCGCCTGTTAAAACCGCCGGATTCGAATTCACTCACGGCCGACGGCTCAGAGGAGGCGTACGAGTCCGCGGGAGCGCAGAGGCAAGCCCCAGGGAGCGCCAGCCCGCAAAGGGTGGTAGGGGGCGTTGTCTGATCTTGGCAAGGAAGGAGCTGAAGGCGCCCATCATTTGCTCCTCAGCCGCTCCGCCTGCGCCGGGCCAGCGCGCAGCCCGCGGGACTCCTGGAGCAGGAACTTGCTAAAGTTTGCCAAGCCCGGGGCGCAGTCTCGGAAAAGTTTTAGAGCTCTCGGAGCTTCTCTGGCTCTGGGGAGCGCGGTGCGTAAAGGACGGGGCATTCTTCGCGGGAGCAGGAGGGTACAGGAGCACTAGGTCTGGGCACCTGTCCGCACCTCCCCTCCTGTTCTGGAGCTTCCCAGCAGGCACCGCAAGGATTGGAGCACCGTTGGGGGGGAAAAGACCCTCGAAGCCCGCCGCTGCATCCTAGCACCTTTGGAGGAGGAAACCGTGTACTCACCTGGGAGGTGGAAGAGAAGGCAACAGAGGCTGGTCCTTGGCGTGGGCAGCCCCCCGGAGGAGCAGCGCGGTCACTACAGCCCCCAGGCAGTGGCACCGAGTGAGCCGTCCAGCCGCCGCCCCCTCCGTTCTTATTCGGCCTGACCACGCCTCCGCCCCCGCCCCAAGGCCGGCCCTCCCGAGGGAGCCAGTGGCGGGGCGAGGCGGAGCCTGCCCCTCGGGATCCTTCCGCTGGGGCGCTGACGGCTGGGCAGGGCGGGCGGAGCCCTCTGATTGGCTGCTCAGCTGAATGGTTGCCGAGAGACGAGTAAATCTTCGGCGGCGGGAAGGGGCGGGGTGGGAAGGGAGGTAGCACAGCGCAGGCGCAATAGAGAGGGGCCGTGTTAACCGGGCTTGAACTTGGTGGTTCCCGGGACGCCTCTCTTTCTGTTGTCCTCTTAATTCTTTTCTGCTGCTATTCCTTTCGTGTAAACCTTCACCTTCCCGCCGTGGCTTTTCCTGCTCCTTCGCAGACCTGTTTTTCTTCGGTTCTGGGAATTTTCGCACTGCTTCTCCTTGGCTGCAAAAGTAAGGAACGAGCCAGACGCTCACGCCGACCTCCAGCGTGTCTGTGAAGTTCGGGAAAAAACTGCAGAGTTTCTGGGCGCCGGGGAGCTTCATGATTCCCCAAGCAAATTGGCTGGAGGTGAAAAAGTGGTCTTGGGGAAAGCGCGCAGTTGGTGGTTCTTTGGCATCAGGGAGCCACTCACCTGTGTGCAGTTAGTGGGGCTTAGGAGCCTCAGGGAATCCATCACCAATCCTGGCCACCACCATAGCTTTTGCCCTGCTCAGAATGCCACAGGGCTTAGTCGTGTACGTTATATAACATGCAGGCGGGGCCAGGACACCGTCCGTCCATTCCGTAGCAAGGGGTTGACCGCCCAGATTCTGAATTCAGACTAACTTGAGTGGAGATCTTCATTCACATCTGTGAGATCTTGGACAAGTCATTAACTCTTTATATACTGCCATTTCCTATCTGTAGAATGGAACCAAGAATGAGACAGCTTTGTAGGGTTATATAAGTATTAAGTAAAAAAAAAATACTTGGAAAGGTATTAGTTGGTTAAGTACTTGATATAAAGTGTATATAAGGGCTATTTATGCCCAATAGTAGCCAATGTTGTTTATTACAACTTTTATTTATCTTCTACTAGTGATGTGAGTTGGCTGGTTGTTCCAGTATTGGTACTGACCAATTTTTAATCTAAAAAGGGGATGCATATTTCATTCTGATCTAAATTTTTCATTTCCCTGATTGTTGAGCAACTTTTTAGATGCTTTTTGGCCATTTTGATATGCTTTTAGTGAAGTGTCTGTTCAAAGCTTTTGTGCATTTGTGGAGAGTTGTCTGTCTTAATGACCCCATACCCTGGATGGTTCTTTGTCTAATATATCTATTACAAATACCTTCTCGAATCTGTGACCTCCTTTTTATTATTTTAATATTATCTTTTGATGAACGGAAATCCTTGATTTTAAGTAAGTCCAATTTATTGCTTATCTTTTATAACTTGCATTTTGAGTCCTGTTTAAGAAATCCCTGCCTATCCTAAGGTCATAAAGATAATCTGTTTTCTCTTAAAAACTTGTTTTAACTTTTGTTGCCTATAAAGCTTTGTGCAAGTAACAACCATCCTTCCATAAACTTCCAATCACAATGAAAAATAAATGAAAATAATTACATTGTCTTTTAGACTGCTTCTACTTTTTCATTGCCTCCTGGATGCCATTTGCACAGGTAGCCTCAAGGAAGGGCAGAAATTCTTAATCTAAAATTTGATCTTGCATGTTTTAGTTCCATTTTGGCTTAGATGAAATTTTGTTCAATTCCCTGAAAAAAAAAAAAAAATTAGATAACTCTGGTGAGGAAGAAGGGAGAACTAAGAAGCAGCAAAGAAATTTCTTATATTCATACATGTGTATATTTTTCTCTTGCTTCTTTTTTATTCCTGGGGTATTACTTGACTTTTTAAGAATTGTTTTCACCTTTTTTTTAAAAAAAAAAATATAGTGTCTTCTCTCTTCCTTATAAAACTATGGCATCCTGCAGCTGGAAGAAATCTAGGAAGTTACCAGGTCCTGCTCATTGGGCATGGAACCAGATATTAAAACTATGCTTCCAAGATTGTTGGTGCTTCCTTGCCAGATTCCAATCCTTTGCTATAGCCTATCCAATCAAAATGGTTTAAAGACTTTTGTTGTTGTTGTATTCTTAGTAATTTATTGATTGATGCTTGGGAAAGCTGAAGGAGAGGAACCAGAGGATCAAAATTCATTGATCAAAATTGATCAATTGATCATTGATCAAAATTCATTAAAATGCAAGTTTGCCTTCTTTGTAGCAATGACTCTGAAAAATATTCATGTCTCAATATTTTATTTGAAATCTTATAGTGAAGCAAAGAATTTCTGCTGTTCTTTTGTCAGGCAAGAAACACCTTTGGTGTAGTGCTCAGTCTTCCCCTAATTCATCAGTTTCTCAAGTCTTGAATGGTGGATCACCATTATAAACATTTATTCAAATGCCCTCTGCTAAACATAGTTTTTATATTGATTTCAAGTACAATTTTTATCTGCATATACACAGAGTAGAAGTACACAGCTCATAAAAGCACAGCTCAGTGAATTTTCACAAACTGAACAAACCTGTGTTACTGGCATACAGATCAAGAAACAAAGTAACATCAAAGCATTTGTGGACCTATTTTAAAACCTCCACAGTGGCTTTGTCTACATCCTAGTGAGTCTCTGGGGGAGTGAAAATATGACTTGGATTTCCAGTGACCACCTAGAACTCACCAATAAATCTGTTTCCTCTCTGGCTTCTTCAGGCCAATATTTTTCTTGGGTGTTAGGGGGAAAAAATAAAAAACTAGTTTTGGAGTAAGAAGGTGTTAAGTTTTATTTGGAGCAAAGTCCATGATTAATAGAACCTGGGACTGGTCAGATTGGATAGAATGGGGGTGGGAATGGGCTGCATCTTGTGCTTGGCTGTAGTGGCTGGCTCAAGCATAGTGTGTCAGAGGAGACACTGTACAGGGCAGTGTAAAGGGGGCATAGTCATGGTGGGGACCCAGAAAGAGGGAAGGTGGTAGCACTTCCAGAGAAGAGAGGATGCCAAAGATAAGCAGTGCCGACTTATCCCTCCCACCTGTGTGTTTCTGGATTCCTTTCCCTGGTGTTGTATCCCTGTTGAATCCAACAGCTGGTATCTTTGTCCCAGCCAAAATGTAACCTTGGACAAATGGCTTAACCTCTGTGAGTCTCAGCTTTCAAAAATGGAGATGGTAATGTCAGCCTACCTGCTTCATGGAGTTATGCGCCAATCAAATGAGGCAGTGAATACACATAAGAGCAGTGGCCTCATCCACAATGTCCATCTCTCTGCCAGTCTGGTACCCTTTTCTCATGTTACTATCAGGACAGCTTGGCAAACAAGTCCAATGAGAGCAGAGGAGGGTGAATGCTCAATCCCTTGCTGTGGCTGCCTTCACTTCTAGGGCTCCAGATGTCTTATCTGAGGATTAATGCTTTTCAAACCTCCCTTCTGGGAAAAGGGAATCCACCAGTGTACATAGTTAATTGATCGTTTCACTTGCTGGGACCAAGCCCTGGATCCACTCGAAAGCTGCCACATATTTAGGTCCAGGATGTGTTTCTCACCAACCCATCCCAGTGCCTGAAACTCAACACTGGAGTCTGTTCCTGTTGGGGACAGACCCCTGCTGTTCCCATGTAGCTTGTCAGAAGAAGGTGGATGCCCCATTGCCAGGAATGGCTAACACCTTACAGGTGTAGTTCTCAGTTTATACATTGGGCTTCCAATCCAGCCTGGATTTTTGGTTGCAAACAATCAAAAACGACTCTTGCTGATTTACACAAAATAGAATTTATTTAAATGGCATTGGGGAGCCCACAGAATTAGCAGGATTGCTGGACAACATGGCCAATTGATTCTGCTGTGAGGAACATGGCCTAAAAATCATATTGTGTACTGGTACAGGAAAATACCTTGATGTCACCAAAGACATTGGCCAGCAGCTGCTGCCTCTGGAGACTAAATGCAACTGTCCCCATCCCCATTGCCACCACCACTCTATATTCAGTCTGTTTGTCTCCACATTTCTGATTCAAAATTTGAGGTGGTGGGGTACATCTTATCAGCAGGGCCCAGATGGAGCACCCAAGCCCTGGCTGCAAAGAAGCCTGGGAAAGATTATCTGCTTACTTCCATTTTCACCTTGGGAATTGGGCTCTGCCTCTTAAGACAGAGGATTCTCCAAACAGAGGAAGGCGGTTCCAAGGCCAGATAGCCAGAACACACGCCATTTCCCCTCCAGTCTCATACCTCAATCTCTTGTGAACACTGTGTGAGCAAATTAGCATCCTTTAGTACACCTAGCCCTGGGACCCAGACACAGGCAAGTTTCTGAAGCTACAAGTCCGAGGGCCAGGAAAAATGGATTCTTGAGAAGCTTCTCGGATGGAGGCCATCCAGCTGGCCCCACCCTGCCATACGCTCTGCTCTTAGCCAGGCAACATTTTTCCTCTTCAAAATTCTTAGAATAGGCACTTGGTATTTGTCTGATGGAAAAAGAAAAAAAAAAAGAAAGAAAGGAAAGCAAAGAAATTGAAAGGAAGGAAAGGAGAAGAAAAAAGGTGTCTTGGATAACCACCCCTCCCTCAAGTCCCTAGCTGTGTGTAGTATTGGCCACTTTTTTGCTTTGGGCCTCAGTTTCCCCATTGTTTAAAAAAAAAGAAAAACGGACCCGGCTTGGCTCATTTCCAGTGCTTCCAGCTCCAACCACCGAGTGTCAAGGAACTAAAGGGTGCAAGGCTGTGCCGCCCAGGGCACATCATGGGGTTGGCTGCACATAATGACAGTGTCCCAGAGCTGGCGCTTGTGTAACAGGCAGAT